GTATCAGTTTCGGAACTTGAATTATGCACCCGGAACTAAAACCTACTGCGGTTCTTTTACGGGGCAAGTGGGGTATGTGATTGGTGGTATGTATTCGACTAAAGAGGCGCGAGTTGGGGATACTTTGTATAAGAGGCAGAGTACTATTGAGCCTCTCCCAGGTAATAAAATAAAACGAAATTACACCCTTAAGACAAGAATTATGGGAATAAAATTATTTTGTTGATTAAACATGATTTATTGATCTGCTACAAACATTTGGGTTTATTTTCCAGGTTTTAAACCGGTAAAACACATGGTGTACTCTGGTCTTTATCCGGCGGATGGAACTAATATGAGTGAACTTGAGCATGGCATAGAGAAACTTACGTGCAATGACTCGAGCGTGTCTGTTGAAATCGAAAGCAGTGCAGCGCTTGGTCGGGGTTTCAGGTTTGGATTTTGCTCGGTTTTTTTTTTTTTTTACTTTACTAATTTTATATTTAAGTTAATTACCATTACGTGACATCAATTTTAGGATAGCTTCATAATCTCTTTGCTTCATTGGCAATTTGAATACAGGTGTGGTTTTCTAGGTCTACTTCATATGGATGTCTTTCATCAGCGGCTCGCACAGGTGTCACATCTTCATTGGCCCCAAATGTAGCAAAGATTTATTCTCTTTTCTATGTTGAATTATGTATCAAAATGACACAGGAATATGGAGTCAATGTTCACAACACTATGCCAACTGTACCTTACATTTTTGAATTTCACGATGGAAGGTATTATCTGACAATTTTTTTGCTTCACTCGTATTTCATTTTCTCTATTTCTAATTTAGGCTGAATATTTGGTTACTTGTTCAGTAAGGTAGAGATGCATATGTGCACCGAGCGCTACAAAGATAAGAAACTTAAAGCTATTTGGGAACCAATGGTAATCGCTAAAATCATACTTCCTAGCGAGTAAGATCCGAACCTGTGTTCTTGTTAATTTTTATATCAATTCTTTTTTCTTGCATGTTATTTGTTTATTAATTAACTCACACCTTCGTATTCCCAAAGATATGTGGGGCCCGTCATTACCCTTTGTGCCGAGCGGGAAGGAGAACAGTTGCAGTTCTCATTCATCACTAGGTAAGTTTCATGAAAAATCGAGTATTTTTCTTGAAACATAAAACATTAATTTAAGTTTTAAGATGTTGACACGTGTTTTCATTTGCAGTAAGAAGGCACTTCTGAGATATAGATTACCATTGAGGCAAATTGTCGTTGACTTTAACGATATATTGAAAAGTGTTACATCAGGATACGCGATATTCATATACGAGGAAGCAGAGTAAGTTTGCTTGTGCTCGTTTTTTTTAATTTTTAGTAAAGAAGTTCTGCAATATTTCTCTTTCTTTTTTTAATTTTCATTAAGCCACCATTTTTCTCAATGAAATATTATTTTAATTTGATCAACAGGCATCAACTTTCTGGTCTGATAAAACTTGATGCAATTCTGAATAACCAAAAGATAGATGTTATGGCCACAATTATCCACAAGTCGAGAGAAGAAAGTGTTGGCGGTAGTATGATGGATATGCTGAAGAAATTCATCAACCGGTAAACTTAAAATTATATTCTCAGTTATATAATCATGAATTAATTCTAGAAAGAAAATCACATACATGTTGACAATAATGATCTCAGGAGTCTGGATAATACAATTTCGATAACGGAAGCTATCTCAGGTCGAGTTGTTTCAACCCAAAGGTAAGGCACGTCATTTGTTTATCATTTTTTTCGGTAATCTGATACTCATTACATTTTTCGATATCTCAATAGTTCTATATAAAATATCAAGTTTTTGAGAAGCATTGGGGGCCATGGCCCCCG